TAAGGTCCTTATGGTGAATTCACTGTATGATAAGTGTATATGAAAAGTTCCTTTTTTCACCAAGATCATCCAGATCATGGGAGATACAAAAGCTTTTATCTCCCAGCAGTAGCATACCAGGTCAATTTGTCTATCAGATTATTAAGAGCCTGGGAAGGTTAGGAGAAGTTTTAAGGCCATGCATTAGGATAACATCATCACCTACACTCCAAGCAATTAAAAGGGAAAAAGCAAAAAAAAAATTGAAATACAGTTTTATCAGGTAAAACCTCCACGTCTAGATGACATATACTGGAAGCATATTCTTCTCCTCTATATTTTATTTAGAAGGCTCAGACAGCAGGATGGGTGAGACTGATATTCCACTTGCGCTGCATGGTCACAGCATACAGCAAAAGCTATTTTTCAGCCATGTAATACAATTCAAAGGTAAAAATTCAAGTTCTTCCTCAACTTCCTACATGGCAATCAAAAATTTAATATGCTGCCAACCACTGATTTCAAGAGGGACTTGTCTATTAAACCTACTTCATTTCAGAACAAGATTTCCATCAGTATAAACACCAATGCTACAGACACCTGTAAATCATCCCAGTCAGTCCCCATGTCATGAGCACTACTCAAAATATGTTCTAAGGGAAGAATAATTAGATACCTTATTTCTCCACCCTCTAGGACCAGAGAATGTCTGGTTTTCTGTCATTCTCCCACATCACTTCCTAATTCCTGACTTCACACACACCCAAGAACCGTTTCCTGGCTGCAGTTCACAAAATGATGTTTAGGAAAACATCTAAAGGCCCTAGTCCCGAAACACCTAAGGCTCTCGTTTAAATTTCAGCATGTGGGAACCTCCCAAGCAGTCCCGAAGCAGTTCTGGCGTCTGACAATGAGCACATCAGCCAGGGCACTGCGACCCCAGTCCTTAAAACAAAAGCTCCACGACAGGAAAAACAGAAAGCCCCTGGTTCAGAGAGTCTCCGGCTCAGGGAGACGAGCTGAGGGCTACACCTGATAGGGAACTCAGGAACACGTGGGCCCCAAAGGCATCTACCGTGATTCCCACGGAGGCACCCCAACTTCCAAGGTACGTCGGAGCTCCGCACAGGAACCGGAGGTGACATGCCGCTGTGCAAGGGATTTCCGCAGGTACAGCAGACCGCTGCGAGCGGCAGCGCCTGGTTCAGGGACAGGGACCCCAAGAACCCCTTTCGGAAGCGCAGCCCCGCGGGCTGGCTGCAGGCCGGCGGCCGCTACACGAAGAGGAGGAGGAGGACGGGCGAGACTGGGCAGGCCCCGGCGCTGCCGAGGGCGCACCACGGGCCAGGCCTGAGGCGCGGCGGCACCGGCGGCGGGGCAGCGCTGGCGGCGGGGAGGGGACCCGAGGCGACACCCGCAGCTTCGCGCTTCACAACGCCGAGCCCGGCCGACCGGAGGCCTCGGCACCCCGCTGCTGACGGGCGACACGCGGCCTGTGGGCTGCTGCCCTGCGACCTGCCCAGCTCGGTCCCGCAGCTACCGGACCCCACCCGGGTATGGGTCACCCCGCGGCACAGCCGCGGTTCCGGACGCTGCCGAGGACAACTCGAAGGCCCTTCAGCCCGGCGGCGGCGGACACCCGTGGCTGAACCACCCTCCCGGGCCCTTGGCGCTCACCTGGTGGTGGGCCCCTGGCGCCCGGGGCGGCGCGGGGTGTGCCGTGTCCGGCGGGGCTACCCCGGCCCTGGCTGCGCGCTCCTGGCTCTGGCGGGTTCGGCCCGTGGGGGAGCGACGGCGGGCAGAGCGCGGGGGGCGGCTGTAAGCGACCGGAGCCGCCGCTCATGGCGAGCCCGGAGAAGCCGAAGCGAGCACGGGTCTGGAGGGGCGGCAGGAGGAGGAAGGCGGCCGAGGGGGAGGCGGCTGCAGCGACCTCAGCAGCGGGGGAGGAGGCGGCGGAGGAAGCGGGGGGCGGCGGAGGGGAGGAGGAGAAGGCAGGCAGGAAGGGGGCGGTGGAAGAAGCCGCGCATCGGCGGTGGCAGCCCGCCTCACCGGGCTGTTGGAGGGGCTGCGGCCGCTCGCGGCTAATATCCCCGCCGCGCGGAGCGCCACCGCGGTCTCGCTGGCTGGCGGGGGACAGGCAGCGGGCGTCGGACTGAGCCCCGCGGCGCGCCGGGCAGGCGGCAACCTGCATCGCTCCTCTCTGCGGCGCCGGGGCCGGCTACAGCCCGCGGGGAGGCATCGACAGCGCCTGGCCCGGCAGTGGGAGCGGGCGCCGAGCCATCCCGGGCTAGACGCGACCGCAGCCGTCCGGCTCGCAGCCCAGGAGGCAGTCCTGCCCCGCCTGCTTCCTCCGCCCGGGCCCAGCGGGCGGGAGCGCTCAGCGCGAAGCCTCCCCCAGGCCGCTCTCCCCCCGCACACCGCTGCACGAAAGCAGCGGGACAGGGGCAGCCGGGGATCACGCCGCGATCGGCTGAGCCCCCGGGGCCCAGGGGTCCTCAGCCCACCCCAGGCAGACCCAAACCGTACGCGCAGAGCCCGGAGTCATTCTCGCGTTGCGCTGCCGTGGGATACGATGCGGGCCCTTGGCCGCTGGGGCCTCCCCACCCTCCCCACCTGCGCCGGGCGAAGCACCGCTGTGCTCCGATGCACCGACCTACCGCGGGAGTGGGCAAAGGCCGCGATCTATTGGACTTGCGGGCGGCTGCAGGCACTCCGCCGGGGCGGGGTCGGGTGCTAGCAGAAAGTCGGAGCTGTCGATACACGCCTGAATTTGTCACGGGAATTGCGGTTTATGAGGTTGGTGTCAGGTAAGCGCTGTTCAAGCGAATCCATTGGCATGAGGTGGTGCGGGGAACGCGGCTAAGGGTTTCTCTCAAAGCAGTGGGAATGCCGCTGTGCGAGTGAGCGGCTCTGCTGGGGTGAAAGTTGCGCTAACCGAGCAGGGCCAGCGGGGTTTGGCTTTCGGGAAGAGCAAAACGGCAAGATCGATACATGCATCACCAAACAAAAACAAAACCAAACAACAACAACAAAAAAAAACAACACGCTGCTTGGCAAGATCTGATAACTGGGGGGAGGTGCTTGCTGTCATCGATAGAACGACAATCCTGCGAGATCGAAATGTGCAGATTGAGAATTCTTTCCGTATCGCACTGCACTTTCTCCTGTGCAATGCTGTGAGTGGAAAAGGTTTCTTCATATCTTGCCTTTGTCAGCATTACCCCGCTGTGCCACCCTTTCCCCTCTCTCCTTCATGTCATTGATGGAGGCTTTCACCTGCGGTAGGACAAGGTGATCATGACCCCGCAGAGGCCAGCACCTTGAGGACTTATTTCTCACTGCCGACATGGTTCATTGTCCCAGCAATTACATCCCAGCTGCTCAAAGCCTTCCTAGACGTGTTTCCTTAAAGTCCACGGAATCAACCTCTCATGGCTCCGGCCCCAAACCAGGAAACAACTACAACAGCTCCTGCTTTGTGATGTGTTTGGTGGATGTTGGGTGACAGAAGCTCCCCATGACCCACAGTGTGTGCTTGAACCCAGAACCCCCCTGTGTGCTGGGCTGCATCCCCAAAGTATGAGCAGCAGGTCAAGGGAGGGGATTCTCCCCCTCTGCTGCTCTCTGGGGAGACACCCCCCCCCCCCCCCGCAGTCCTGTGCCCAGCTCTGGTGCAACAACACGAGGGATTTGGAGCTGTTGGAGCGAGTCCAGAGGAGGCCACAGAGATACTGTGAAGGCTGGAGCATCTCTGCTCTGGAGACAGGCTGAGAGAGCTGGGCTTGTTCAGCCTGGGGAAGAGAAGGCTCCAGAGAGATGTTAGTGCAGCTCCCAGTGCATAAAGGGGCCAACAAGAAAGCTGGAGAGGGGTTCTAGTTGAAACTAGATGAGCTTTAAAGGTAGCTTCCAACCCAGACCATTCTGTGGTTCTATTACAATCCTGTGGAATGCAAAGGTCTGAAGTTCTTTCTAGTCATGTCTTCTGTATCACCTTTCCAACGTGTCCGCATGTCTTTCAGATTGCTGCTGTAGAGTAAGCACATGCAAGCATGAAAGCACATGCAGCTGCATGAAGATCCTGGCAATACACAGATGGCAGACGGATGAACAGAGTCACTGTTGCTTTGTGATCATTCATTTTTTACTTACTTCCTGGAGGGAAATTGCTTTAAAACTGCTCCCATACTGAAGTTACATCATGAGATTGCACTGTGGCACAGACTTCCTTTTTTTTTTGTGAGACCTCCAAAACTTTGCATATTTGAATACTGGAGTATCTTATACTACAGGGAACGGTGTGAAAATGGCATCAGTCCTTCAACTAAGACAATATTTTAATTTTTCTGCACCTTGATTGTCTTCCAGAAATAAAGAAAACATATTTCTGCAGGATGGAGCTACTTCAACTCTTAATCCAGCATGCACTCCAGACTAAAGGCTGTCTGTCTGCAGCTGTGCAGACAGTTTACCTTGACAGCTCTGCTGCATTGCTCTTCATTTACTTCTGAAGCTGAGGAGTTCCATCTTCCTTTTGGTTCTAAATTTAAATAAAAATAAATTTTCAAGATGATATCATTAGAAGAATTAGATCCACATGTCTTTTAACTCTAATAGGACAAGAAGAGGTGATGCCTTTAGCCTAATACCTTGTTAGGGTAATTACCACCTTTGGCAAACCATCAAGCTTTTGGCTGTATGCAGAAAGCCTTCTTCAGGTATGCTTAAAGTCTTCAGGTACTAAAAGGCAAGGTTTTCTCTTTTTAAGGTTTAAAACAACTGGTATCTTAACTCATTTTCCGAACCAGAAACATACGGATGTCCAGAATTAAATTCATTGATGGTTTACATGAAACAGATCCAGGGAAAAGTTATAACAAGTGGGGTTTATCTTCCTCTCTTCTCCTTCCTCTCTCCTCTCTTTTTATTTATTTGCTTGGTTTTTCTTTTTTTTCTATTGTGACATTTTGTTTTAAAGTTCATGAATTTGTAATACTGCAATGATCAGAAAGCTACTGCACTCAGAATTGTAGAGCTTTTTTCTTTTCAGGTGAATTCAGACCTCACTGTTTTGAGTCAGAATGATCACCACAAGAACATCTGACACTGATGTAAGCTCTTTTGCAGATCAGGACTGGTTGTTTCTTCAAACCTCATAACTAATTCTGCATAAAAAACAACACAGAATTTGAGTCTAGATTTCCATATCTACAAGCGGTCTGACAGAATCAGAACCAGATTCTTGGTTGTTACCGTACTCCAGTGTTGAAAACAGTGATATTTGGTATATTGTTCCATTAAAAATAGAGTAAGTTAAACTCCCATTTCCAAGGCACCTCTTAAAAACTGGCAACAGCTGAAGTGTTTAATGCTTTGTGGTTTATGAGCCAGACTTTACAATGGGATGATTTTAACCCTGAATCCTTCATTACCTCTTGTTTTGTACCCCTCAGTGCTGCTGAAGTGCCTGATTATGAGAGGGACACAGAAGAGATCTACTGGAAGCAAGACTGATGAGATGGCAGTTAATTGGAAAAAAGGAGGGAGTTGTGTCAGATTTTTTAAAAGATGCCTCTCTTATCAGAAAGCAGATAAATGTACTTCAGAAGGCAAATAAACTGCAAATTTCTTGTACAGAAAAAAATGCATATCCAGCTTCCTGCAGACAGAAATCTGTTTTTTTAAGTAGTTGAGAAGCACATATGAAATCAGCAGTGTGTAAACCCCTTCTTGTTGAGTGCAGTACTTGTGGAGTATGAGATACTTCCACGGGCACTAACATCACCAGTGCTGCGTTTTCCATGTCTGCAGCTGTCTGCTGCTTACTGCAGGCACAGCCTGAGTTGCCATTTGTGAGTTGGAGGCCAGTCCTGTCAAATGCTGAGTTTCTGCTGTGGGAGTCACTGGGTTAGTATCTGGCTAAGGACTGATCTGCAGGGACTAGAGCAAGTCTGTTGTTGAAGCTGCCAGTGGGACATCAAGTGATGGGACATCTTTACAGTGAGGGTGGTAAAACACAGGCACAGGTTGCCCAGAGAGGTGGTAGATGCACCATCTCTGGAAACATTCAAGGCCAGGCTGGATGTGGCTCTGGGCAACCTGATCTAGTTGAAGATGTCCCTGCTCATTGCAGGGTGGTTGGACTAGGTGACCTTTGAAGGCACCTTCCAACCTAAACTATTCTATGATACTATGATTGTGAACCTTATTGAAGAATGAGAAATGCAAAAGGCAGCATTTCAATACATGTTTCTATGATTGTAGTCTGTTGGGGAGGGATTGGATCCATCTGTCTCATAGAGGCAGAAGAATCTTTGGCAGCAGGCTGGCCAATTTGGTGAGATGGGCTTTAAACTGAAGGACTTGGGGTGGTGGGGAGAGAGGGAGGGTGTCCAGAGCATCAATGCTCACACCGTTGCTTCCTCTTGGGTAATAGGTCTTGCTAACCCGTGCAGGGATAGGTGTTACTTGGTTGCCTCTGAAGATGAGGATTGTAAGGCTAACTGTATTAAGGGTGTTTATGGTGAATCTTACAGCCTTTCTAAGGAACCTGATTGTGAAATTATAAATTAAGCACCTGTTGCTTTTAGGAACTGCACAGAATATGCCCTGTGCAGCACTTTGAACACAAGCCTGTGCTGTCTGCTATAACTTTCAGGTGTATTAGACCGAGAGACCCCTCAACTGTATTCTGTCAACATGTGGAGACAATTATGCAGCCAAGTATGCAATATTTTTTAAGTGTCCTGTGCCTTACCTAACTTCTCAGCAGTTCTCTCTGTGAAAAGCGCTATTTTGTAAAATTATTCCCAAAGCAAGATACTTCTTACAGCTTGATTAAAGAAGGTGGGAAAGGATGCTAAATTAGGGACTTCCTCACTGGCTGCCTTGCTTCAGATACAATGTGTATTGTAATCTCTTTTTGACTGAGGTGCATTTCCCTCCTGGCCAGCACAACCCTTCTTTATCACTCTCAGAATAGTAGATTCTCTGGATGAATTATGTTAAACCAGTGCCTCTTTGCCTGAGGCAGTTAAAGTTACTGTCAACATGTTAACCAAGTTATTGGTCTACTTTTCCACTGAGCCTTTTCAAAGCCACTCAGCTAAGCAGATGAATGAGACACCAGCTATTCAGTTAGTAACTGAACCAAAATGTCGTTTGTGATTTTACCAGCAGTTCTTGTGAACAGCATTATTTGATAGTCGCTTGTGTGGAAAGACATTAAACAGTTCTCATTCCTCAGATGATTGTTGGAAGTCTTGATTTACACCAGCCTAGAGTGAGTGATAGTGAAGGACGTGGTGTTACAACTTTATGACTACAGCTCTGCAGAACTGGGGAGGATGTGTGATTGTGGGAGGGGTTTTGTTTATGAATGTATAATATATCTAGGCAGTGTGGAACAAATAAACATCAATAAGCATATACATCTTCGGGGACTCTGAAGGCAGATTGTCTGTTCCAGTGATGCATAAGATATCAAAGAGAGTCCAGAATGGCTGCAGTGGGTGGAAAATTTTTTGTAAAGATGAAAGAGCATTGATGAAAACAAGGAGAGGTTGAGAGCTGTCTGTGAGGATTGATGAGGGGGAGGAGAACTCAGATGATGTTTCACCTTTCAACTAAGACATCAGCAAGGAAGAGGGAAACGCAAGGACTGGTGAATTCATGAGCCACAGTCTTGTGTGGGACAGGATCACAGCTGTGGTTCCCTATTTGGGAATTTGGGTGGAAACCTAACATCAGCCTAAAAGTGACCAGCAGCACCTGCATTTCATTCCTTATGTCTGCCATACAATAGGAAAGATCTTTCCTGAACCCAGGAAAGAGGAAGGCCCTGAAACTCACTGTGACCATAGGTATGTGCAAGGATGCTGGCTGGAAAGTCAGGCTGATGTGCCCAGGATGATATAAGAAGTATGTAGCCAAGGTAGAAGGAAGAGCCAAGTTCCCTAAGTCCCATCTAATGTATGCTTGATAATGCCTTCCATTCTACAAGCCTCAGTGTACCTGGCTGCAGGTGTGAATGTCATAAGCTTGATACTGGGAAATGTCATAAGCTTGATATTGGGAAAAGATCTGGAATGAATCGAGACAGTCAGTGCTTCAAGAAGAGAAATTTTAGGAAATCTTCTATGGCTGGATCGAATAAGCCACAGCCTAGAGCTGCTGCTGTGTTGCTACCCTGAAGGTCAGGTAAATACAAGACTTCATGCTGGGTTTCCAGAAGTTTCCAGTCACAGCCTGCACCCCCTACCCCAGTTCCTCTCTCCTACCATTCAGAATGATTTATGACATGGAGCAATATGGAGCCTGTGGTACTTGACAAGCATTCTTGCAAAGACCAAATCTCTCTCATGTATGACCCTAGCAAGCCAACTAAATTCCACCTCTACGTCTGCTCCTCTGATCAAACCCGTAGAGCTTATTGGAGTTACGCGTAAGACCATATGCAGTCCTGTCCCTTTTCTTGGAGGAGCTGCACAGCAAACCTGGCAATAATAGGGTGTATGCTTGCTATGTGTATACATGTACATATGCATAAACTTACACACATACATGTGCATATACGCATATACCAATGCACATACCAATGCACACAGGAGCATATTTGGAAAAAACAAATTCTGGGTATACAGAAACTTCATGAAGTCTGAAAACTACTCTGTAAATATGATGGCAGTCCTTTGTTCTTAAAATCTGCTTTTGACTGTGAGCTGTCATGTTCACCCCTAACTGATCACAAATTCTACTCTACTTATTGCTGCTTTCTAGCTCCTCATTAAGGATGGCCTGAGCAGCCTAGTACTGTTCCCTGCAAAAATGCAGATTCCAAATCTGCGCTGCTGGCTGTCCTAATCCTAAGAACCCCAATGTTTTTCATCCTTTCAGCACACAAAAGAACACCAATCATGTGAGTGACTGCTGTTAGAGATTTCATTTTGAAGATGTGGCTGCTTATTCCCCCACCTTCTCTTTTCCTCCATTCAGGCCAAGCAATGTAAGATTCTGATTTACTAATGAGAAATTGGAATTCATTGAACAGCTGTCCTCACATGACATGTCTATAAGTCTTCCATTGTCAGAAGCAGGACTGCATTTTAGCTATTGGAACATTAGAGGAGTAAAGAAGACAACAGGAAAAGCTTTATGAAGAAAGTTTTAATTTATGTTTTGTTCATTCATGATGATGAAAGATTATGAAAATACATTGCCTTGTGTTTAAATTAGGTTAAATGTATACAATGGCATATCATCACTTAAAGCCCAGCAAAAAGTTTACAATAAATCTTGAATGCATTAACGCTTACTCTGTAAAACATACAGACAGCACAATTAAAACCCCAGCCTCATTAGAATTCCAGCCTCTCATGGCCTTTCTGAGAGCAGAAGAAACTCTGTGTGTAACCATAGGAAAGTATAAGTGCACTTGGAATTAGAAGTCGCAACTAATCATTAGAAAATAATGGTTTCAGAGGAATGTATTCAGAATATGATTTAGAACAAGCAAGTTACTAATGCTGTAAACCACCTCTATTTCATCTCTAAAATATTTCTGTGAGTTTCTGTGCAGTAGATGGTGGGCTGCATGTGCCTGTTTTTGAATTAAGCGTAAAGACATTCTCATGGCAGCAAACTGTAGAAATGACACCAGCAGCATCACAGTGATTTTTGACAGTGATCCTGTATAGGATCACAGGTTCTACACCTGGGTCAGAGCAATCCCAGGCACAGCTACCGGTTGGGCAGAGAAGAGATTCAGAGCAGCCCTGCAGAGAAGGACTTGGGGGTGTTGGTTGATGAGAAAATGAACATGAGCCGGCTCCAGTGTGTGCTTGCAGCCCAGAAAGCCAACCGTATCCTGGGCTGCATCAAAAGGAACATGACCAGCAGGTTGAAGGAGGTGATCATGCCCCGCTACTCTGCTCTCATGAGACCTCACTTGGAGTATTGTGTGCAGTTCTGGTGTCCTCAACATAAAAAGGACATGGAACTGTTGGAACAAGTCCAGAGGAGGGCCACAAGGATGATCAGCAAAAATATAGTTAAATGCTTACCATCACTAAGTCTTGCATTAATGAGCTCTAACAAATAGAACCAATAATGTTAATCAACATATGCAATGTTTTTAAACAGATTGAAAAGTCGAAGCATGATTAAACTGTTAGTAACAAAAGTCTTCAAAATAAACAGTGCTAAACTTTGGGAACAGGTCTTTAGCTCGTCATCTTCATTACAAGTACGGTCAGCCCATTACTGACCTTTCTTCCGTCCCTGCACAGAAGTACATTGGACTATACAATGGCCCTGTACATTCCTTTGGCAGCATTCAGAAGTACGGTGTAGTACTCGCCGTCATCGTGAGATTATAGATGAGGTTTTTACCCATAGACCTTATCCATCTCACATGATGGACCTACTCTGGCTGTGAATAGTGGTTCCCCCCCGTCCCGTCCTCAGAGCCGCCGCTGACAAACATGCAAGCATGTTTGTCAGTTTTGATCACAATTACATAAAACCTCACTTCCCTTGTTAAAAATATTAAGTATTTGGTGCAAAATATTTGCATCTTCTTAATCAGCCCAGATACTTTACAACTTCAATGAACACAGGATATCTTTGTGGCATTCAGCTACTCAACTGGCTGAGGAATCTGTGCAAAGCATTCTGCACTCCATCACCTACACACTTCTTACTAAGGATCAGCTTTGACTGCACTGATAGAATTTCCCTTGACACTAGGTGCATCCTATTTGCTATTTATTTCCTTTTCTGGCTTCTGCCATGTTTTATATACCTGATGGTGGTTACAGAAGGACACTGTGTGTGCTTGCCATTCCCAACACACAAAAAACTGTTGTGGATGCCTTGGTGGAGCTGTGCGTCTCCTCACATGGGATAGTTCAGTAAATGAAATGTTACTAAATGGGAGGCTGAATTTGAAATATTATCAAGCATATAGGTACTCCTATAGATAGGAGTATGTAAAGCCATCATACTTTCCACTACTGTGGTCAGACTTTACCCGAACCATTTAGCCCTTTATGGCTACATTTTCCTCATCAATAGAATAGAAATACATTAGCCTGTGAATTATACCTTACACAACTCTTTTGAAGCCTCACCATTATCTGTCTATGTGCTGCAGTAATAGAAATAAAGATGTTCAGTGTATGGCAATTCACAACAGCTTGTGGTTCATGATAAGTGCAACCAATCAACACATCAAAGACTGGGCTAAACCACAAACTTGTTTAACACAGTATGCTCGGTAAGCTGAAGGTTTGCCTTGAGCAAAAACTAGTTGTGATTTGCCAGTGTTATACAGTAAATCAGTTCTTAGAATATATGTTGCCAATGCTGATCTGTGTATTAGAGGTAGTACACAGAATGCAACAGCAAACTGCAAAGAGGGCTTAACGGTTGGAGCAGTGTTCTACCTGAGTTTAACATCAGCCACAAGACAGCATTCTGGAATGCTTCTTCACTTCATTAGCGGTTACATTTATTCTACTGTCAGTATTCAGTGATAGAAAGTGGGATATTTTGGCTCAGATTTTAAACACCTGATTAACTTCAGAAGTATATTAAAATATTTCTCTGCCAATAGCTATATGGCAGTATTTTCACAGAAAATGTCTCAGGATAAAAGAACAACTGCAGCAAGTGCATATACAAATTAGGCTTGCAGCAACTCTTCTACCTTACTTAAAATGCAGGTCCAGCACAATGTGTTTCTCTGTCTCCTGAGATTCTTGGTGAAAAATGAAATGCAAGCTGGTAGTTGTCTTTATGAACTAATCCCCATTGTTCTTGTGTTCCCACTGCCGTTACGCTGTTTAACACTAGATGTGTGCACAGCAGTCAGCTAGACATGGCTGAAGGTCTAGTCCTTTTTTAAAAAGATATGAATGCTGCAGCATCTGTACCGACATTATAGACCTGGGTGAGCCATCTGCCATCTGTAATAACTCGGAAATTCTCAGTTATAATGGTCTCCAATGGCTGTTGTGTGCTTTGAAAGAAAAACATTGTGACACATTTTGCTCTCACATTAGGGATGGAGCACCTTGCTAGACCATATTCTTCCTGTACGGGGGAAGAGCTGCAAATCACTTTCTTCTGGCAGCAATTGCACTGTGCTCTGTAAGTGGGAAGCAATAAAGGCATGGAAACCATGGGTTTAAAGCCAGGCATATGCCCAACATGCATCAGGAATGTGTCTGAGCAGACACAGTGCC